ATAAAATTTTTTCTGATATTCTAATAGGTCCCTTTATATATAGATTACCTTGAATTTCTAAATATACAATTCTTTTTGTCACTCCTTTATACTGTTATTCTCATTAAAACTATGAAATGTTTACAATACTATATTAATGTTATTTATGTTTATACTTACTATGTATGTCTTCTGAGTTATATAGTCTAATATAATTTATTAAGGTATACCATCACACAATAAGAAATTTGAACAAAATAAATTCTAAAATCTGTCAAATTCCTCTGTCAGAGGCATGCCTCTCCTTTAAAAATAATTAAAATTTATTTAATCTGGAAGTCCTACATATAGTTTTACATATTTCCTATTAAAATGCTTATCTGCAAAATATCAACCTTTTATGCAGAATTGAATTTTAGAAATTATCTGTGTGGATTTTTAATATCATTTTGATAAATGTGGAATTCAATTGCAAAATGTTTTTCTAAAAAGTTAACTTTCCTCTAGTTATCTGCCATTGTAACTTAATCAGATATCAGATATTTAAGTTATCTATGGGCCTGCTTATAACTCTATTTTGTTCTGTTAGCTAACAGTCTATCTACATATAAATATTCAAGTTTTTACAACATCATAATAGATTTTGATATTTTTAGACAAGATTCCTATATAATTCTCCTCACTTTCCACCAAGAATATTTTGGTTACTTGCACTTACATATGTAAATTTTGGAAATATCTTTGAGGCCTCCCTGGTGGCACAGGGGTTCAAATGTAAGAGCTATCAAGCTATTGCCAGCCATTGCGGCATGAGTTTAATCACTCATGACTCATCAGACCTCTCCTGTCTCTCCTGCTGCTCCCTTCAGCAGTGTATTTCAGTAGCTTTGTCTGCTCTGTTCTTTACTCTTTCTCTGGTGAATCCTCTCACCTCCCATATCCCACTTCTTCCATGCATAATTTATATATATATATATATATATATATATATATATATATATACACACACACACACACGCTTTTATTATTTCCCTGAAAATTCATATAATTTACAATAGCTAAATCCTGGTGCCAAATCTCAGTAATAGCTTACCTGATATAAAAGGGATGTTTTTACATTTAATTGGAATACACAGAGGACTGAATTATTTGTACTCTAAAGAAAAAGGTGTGACATATATATGTCTGTATGTGTAGGTATGTGCACATGTGGATGAATGTACACACAACAGTCTAAAGCAGCAATGAATATTTGTACAATGAGCAACTCTTATTTGCTAATGTACTGCATCATGAAAGTATTCATTAAATACAAAAGCACTTGATGAATATATGAATATAGCAATATACAACTCAAGGACAGACAAACTTTCACACTGAAATGAGTTTGTTGTCTCAACTTTAAATGAGATTTCCTATGCAATAAGGACTTAGTATGGATTAGTGCATAAGTGGCAGGTCTACTCAGAGAATGTTCAGTGCACTGGATGCCTTTAGGTGGACTCTCACAGAGTTGGACGTAGATAAGTAGCTGATGCTAGAATGTAAATTTCCTACATCACCAAGCACACAGTTTAGATCAATTGACATTTGTTTTCTATTTCAACACTTTTTAAGTGAAGCAGACAATATATTACATTCTAATATAGCTCCTTACTTCATAAGACATCGATTTTCAATAGTCAGGATTTAGTGAGCAGTTCATGAGAAAATCGAATATTAAAAAAATTGAGTAGATGGCCTTCTAGTGTCAGGTGTTATGGGGGTGGAAGGGAAGAAAGGGAGAGAGAAGACAGAATGTTTTCCCTAATCTTAGAATGAGAAAATATTTGTAAGCTGAAAAGATACCAAGAAAAATAGAAGGTCTGACTACCAAAAAATCAAGGTCAAAAACAAGACTAAAGTAGCTAAAGGAACTAGAAAAACCTTTTCAGAATATTTGAGCAAAATAGAAGGTTTTCAACATCAAAAAAATTCCTGAGTAAAAATTAATCTATTAGTTTGTTTCTCCATGTGTAATATAACACTTTTTATGAAACTGGATTAGATAGTAATATATAGTACTTAGCACAACATCTGTTAATAACATTGTTTCTATCATATATGCTTTAACAACTTATTCTAAGTGTGAGATTTTATGACTTTAAAATTACTGTGCAACTGCGCAGTAAAGAGTTAACTTTACAAGTCTGGGTGGCCCAAAATTTGTACATTTCAAAGAAAAATTTTATATTTGCTTGGCTCCTAGAAGGTAAACTCTAAGCTCTTAGAATATCCTGCCTGATAATATTTGTTTACCTGGGGCCCCTTGAACATATTTGATAACTCATGCTAACAATCAACTCATAGTCAACTGACCTCTAAAGGGATGGAGATCTTAGAGGCAGTCAACCGCATTTGTCTGCTCAAAATCCAATAAAAAGCCAGACACCCAGGCTTAGCTGAGCATCTCTGGTTGCTAATGCCCTCTGACTTTACTCAAGACTGAGAGAACTGAGTAAAGTCTACACAACTCCACTGGGAGAGGGTAAATGGAAGTTTGCACCAGTGTCTCCTGCACCCACTTAGGTATTTTCCCCTCTGCTGATTTAAATCTTTATCCTTTCATAGTAATAACCTATGAACAAAGTAACATAAATTGCTCATAAAGATCACATATATAAAATATAGTGAATATGTGCATACCTCTACTTACTAACAAATCATCAAATAAATGAAAAATTTCTAAGGTGGCCCTATTTATAACCTACTTGTCACCACAGTAAATTAATGAAGATCCCAATTTCTAGTCATATTTCATTAGTATAGAAACATCAACACCAATAAAAACATTTCCTTATTGAAACAGTTACAAGAAAAAATAAACATTTCCTGAGTTATTCTTTAGAATGAGGAAACAATTTTGAGCAAGTATCATACAACCTTAATATAAGTTGTTTATTTTTCTTGCTAGAGATTCTAAAAGACTTTTGTATGTAATTACATACAAAGGATTTTTAAAAAGTTAAGCCCTCAAAGGAAAAAAGTCAATACATTTTGTTGACAGTTCCCTTTGTGTTAGTAAAGATAGTAACTTTTTAGTTTTCTTTAAGTATTAGATTTTTCACTATGACCAGTCTTTTTTAAAAGTATTTGTGGTCACTTCTGTTTTTCCAAGTATATGTACAGTTTCTCTGGGAATTTCCAGAAATCAAATTCAAATTCAATACAATAAACTTAAATACACTCATTATCAAATCTGTTTGGAACCATTTCATGTTGATTACAGAGGTATTCCTGAACTGATCAATTTAAATTGAACAATTCTGAGATTCAAAGATTGTGGGCTGAAGAATTATACGATTAATTTTCTTCTTGTACTAGAAAAATTATTGGAAGAAGTTACCAAGAATACAGAAGGTAAAAAAAAAAAAGAACTGTTCCAACTTAAGTAGTTTTTAATTATATTTCCAAAAACTTTGTCTTTTGTGTGTATATATACATGGAACCTATAGCTGTAAGCATATAAACTCCATGGAGACTTTCCCTATTTGTGTATCTGAACTTTTCTGAAGATCCTTCCTACATTTTTCTTTCATTATGCTTTATATCTTACATTGCATGGTGAGGACATAATTTAGATGAACTTTCACCTACTTGTTTATATAGAGAGACCAATTTTCTCACTGCTGGTTATCTTTCACTCTCTAGCAACAAGAAATACTAGCTTCTACTTTTGAAACACACATAGCTTACCGGTAAGGGGAATTTTTAGCAACTAAGTAGTTCAACATATATCACATGTCCTGGTCCGAATCCATCAAGCATTACACATACCTTTGGCACATGTCTATTGATTTTGGGTTCAGCTCTATAAAAGTCAAATAAAATAATATTTTACTACCATTTTAGCCATTCCAACCCAAGTTCTGGTCATAAACCAATGTTTCTGCTATATAAAGCTGAAGTGGCCTTTCCTTAAAATTATCTCATTTAGTTTCCAGTTTAAGCAGTTGTAGCTTCTTGATGGAACCTTTACATGTTAACAAAGTAACTTGTAATATGGTTGGTTCCTTTCATTAAAGCTCTTCCTGCTTTTAGGAATACAACGGCACACTAATGAAATTAATTGGACATATCTGCTTTCAAAAAATGTAAAATTACCTATTAGACTGAATATTCTATTCAGGATACTTTTAAATCTATTTAATGAGTGTTTAATGAAAATGTATTCAGGCTGATCATATGGAATTGTATTTATAATTAATTGCACTTATCCTAAAATTTTAAACATCAACTTTCTCTTGCCTCTAAACATCATTCTCAGAATTTTTCATTCAAATAGTGCACATGGTTTGACCTATTATGATTAAATTGAGTTATCTTTAAATTATGAAAATTATGTTGAAGTTAAGAATCTAAATCCTTTCATTCCTGGATAGAATATTGAATGAGATTATTGCACTGCAGATTTTCCCTACAGGATGGTGATTTTTACATATATTTATCTTATTTTTTTGTTCTGAAAACAAACTCCTAATATTTTAGAGCAATCAATAGTAGACTGAAAGACCAAAAATGAAATTATATCAACACGATGCATAGTGACTGTGTGTCCAATTTAATTCCTTCAAATATCCAATTTAATTCCTTCAAATATATTACTCCTTTAACCATGCAGATCATTCTCTTTCTGTACCTGGTACTAACAAACATAGGCTGGCAATATCATTACTTGCACATATCACATGTTTTTCTTGAACTGCTATCCTCACTACGGCAACATCTATATCATTTAGAAAAGGGTAGTGAAATCATGCATGTACTGTGATGTTTTTCTGATAACTGTAATCATGTCTTAAGATTTTAGGTCAACATTTCAAGAATGTTTACAACATTCAGAAGACACTTTAAATTTATATGATCTCTATTCCTCGTTTCCTTACTTGTCAAAAACTTGAAGACCAAATGAAAAGTATAAGATATACTTGTAACCTAATAATACAAAACAGAAAATTAAGGCAGTGAGAATTTTCACTTACTTGTGACCCATTTCATGAGCAATAGTAAATGCAAGATTAAGGCCATTGTCTTCAGCAATAATGCATTTTCTTTTTTCACTACACATTCCACTCAAGTAAGCTATACCTAGAAAATATAAATATTAATTATCACACATCAGAATGCAAACATTTATGCTAAATATTAGAAATGAAAAGTCAGTTTTTCCACACAATTATGTAAATATTAAATAATCTAGCCATTGTAGGTGGCATTTTTAAAGAAAAGGCATGTGTACAAGGCACTTAAGACCATTAATATTTTTCAATTTCATGTCATGTAAGATAGATGAATACCTGCAACATAGAACAGTGCATTAGAAAAATAGTAATTATGTGAAATATTATTCAAGTCATATGAAGAACTAAAATTCACAGCAATATCACAGAATAAAGTGAACTGCATATAGGATAACTGCAAACTTAAATTATGAATTATAAAATTCTGAAACTTAATTTAGGTAAATATTATTTTAATTAATATGACATGCAGTTATCTGTGATATCTGGAGTACTGGAAATAGTTTAAACATTTCTTGACTAATAATATGGTTTGACTACATAGTGGCAGTAAAAGATTACATAAAATGAAAATTCCATCATGATAATATAATCTGAAATCACTAATCAAAGATTAGCTCTTTAATCAAAGATTTATGTATGATTTTAAGATATATCCTGGAATAAATAATATTTAATACAAAGAATTATAATATTTCAAGAATTTAAATACTTATATTTTTCATATAAGTTCATTAATATATCCAGTATGTATTGAATTCATTGTATGTCTCTAATTCCATGGTCTAATAAAATTTAACTAATTATGGTCTCTAATTCCATGGTCTAATAAAATTTAAGTAATTATGAAAATATTAAGCCTTAGAAGGCAGAATGATTGATGGAGATGACATTTAGCTGGTTACTAAATATGGTAACATGGAAATTTGAACCCAACTTTGAACTCATTTCCACTTAATGTTTATTTTGCTTCTTATAACAACTTAGTAGAATGACTCTTGTTGAAAATATTAGCTGATTGCTTGTGACATTTTCTCTAGAAAAGTAAAAATTATGATAAAGCATCGCACTCTGAAGCAATACGAAATACCACCACAGCACAAGATGGATTCCGAACCACATGGGGTGGCAGACTCTCCTGACCCACCCAGTGCTTCCCTTAGCAATATATTACAATACATCTGCCTGTTCTGTTCTCCACTCTGTCTCCGGTGAAACCTCTCATTCCCTGCCCCCACCCCTGCACCTCTGGTCTGTACCCCAGTTCTTGTATAAAATATTCATTTTTTAAAAAGATTTATTTATGTATGCATAACTAAACTGGTGTGTAGGCCAGAGGTGCAGGGGGGTGGACAGAGTGGGAAGCAGAACAAGCAGATCTATGGAAATACACTGCTGAGGAGAGCAGAAGGCAAGACAGGAGTGGTCTGCTGCGCTATTTTCAGTCACTTCCCTGGCAGGGGTTTGAGCACATATTGCAGTGGCTGACAATAGCTTGACAGTACTGCCTTTAATCCCTGCTCCACCAGGGAGGCCTGAATAAAAGAAATTTAAATAAAAAACCAAATCACCTTCCCATGCTTTGGAACTATAGACCACTCATGGGGGAATGTGAATTGATATTCCAAGTGGGGATACTCCAACTGAGAAAAGAGAAAGATTTTATGACGTTTTTAGAACCCCAAAGAGGTCTAATAACGAGATCCATAGGTGTGAGGAGAGATAATGTTGGAGAGTTGAATATATATATTTTTTGGAAATTTATCTGAAATCTCCACCATTCAAACTTTCATGTACAATGTCAAAGACTGGTACTGATCACCTGTCAAGAAAATGAAGGTATATATTCTTCAGCAAACATGAAATAAACATTTAAAAAATACAACTATAAGATATATCAGTCAAAAAGTGAGTATAGGTGTTATTTTCACTATTTAGAAATTTAAAAAGGTTGTTTGGAAATTTCAAATCTATAATAACATTAAAAGACTTCATGACAAGATGGGTCTAAGGACAGATGAGGAGTGACCAGCTTGATGGCAAGCCTTATTTCTTCTTCTGGTTCAGTAGGCCAACCTAAATTAATCTAAGGTTAAGTCAAGGTCAATCAGGAAGTTAAGAAGAAGGTTCAATTAACAGAGAGGGACTAAGAAAAGAAGAAGAAAAGTTATATATTCACACACACACACACACACACATTTGTTGTTTCTCAGAGTTGTACACCTGAAAATTATATACTAGTATGATGCAATATCATGTCAATAAAGGTAAAAAATTAAAATTAAATAAAAAAACTGTACTTTTTACTGGTTTCATTAAATAATGGAATAAAATGCATTAAAAATCTTACACATAATGTGAATTTTAAGTGAATGAGTCATATACTTAAGATAACAAAAACCTAGTAAACAAGATCTGGGAGTTATTAAACTTATGTTATAAAGAGAAGAAGGAAGGAAGGAGGGAGGGAAGATTACAGTAAAGTATCTCCTTTTCCAAGAATATTAAAATTCTCTTGAGCATCCAAAATTTTTTAAAAAATACATAATGCGAGGAAAAATGTATCACAGAAATATTAAATGAAATTCAATTATTAGTACAATGTTTGGAATAAAATTTCCCTTTGAGTACCCAAAGATTTTGTCACTCCTTTCACCATAACTATAATAATGTCATCACCATACACAGATTTAAAATTTGGCTAATGTGACTTTTTGGTCAGGATCATGTATCTCCTTGCTAAATGAACCAGCCGATATCAAACAGTCATTTTAATAATTTTTACATCTTTTTCTCCTGTACACCTTCAAACGCTGTCTCTGAATAAAAAAATGTTTATCAACACATTTCTAATTCTTATCTCCTACAGTATATTTTCCCTTCTATATTTTTATATATTTTCTTAATCTTACATAGGCTAGAATTTCTAACATGCTATTTAAGTATATGTGTGATACTGAGCTCATGTTTTTCCTTTTAATTTTAATAATAAAATGACCATAATTTCACAATGGATTATATTGTAAAAGAAAAATATAGCTTGCTAAGGAAGTTACTTTCTGATCTTTTCATGAAAGTAATGTTATCTGATGGATGGATTAAAGGTTAGATAAAAGCAGGAGAGTCTGTCTCAGAAAAGAAACAAAAGCTTGGAAAAGCAACTGAGGGAAATAGGAAAGAGAAGTGATTAGGTGCTAGGGGAGAACTTCATGTAAATGGATCAGAAAACATATGGTTTAGCTGAGAATGGAGAGCGTGAGTCTGGAGTAACACTAATACCCAACTTGAGTGAGATCCAAGTTAATACTGAACCAGAAGAGTAATAATTGGATTACATTTGCATTGAGGTTTTGTAAAAGAAGAATAAAAGGGTTTAGAAGTTGACAAGGAAATTGAGAGTGAAAAAAAAGCTAGAACTTGTTAAACTATGTCAGACAAGTAAGGAATGGAGCATATTAATTTGGAGGGCATAATAGAGTGGTCAGGTGAACTGAATCATAAATGAAAAAAAAGGACAATGCTTTATTTAAAAGTCTTAGCAATAGGAGTAAAAGAGTGCGATTTGGAGATGTAAAATTTCAGAGGTGAAGATTCCTGAACATGACTAGATATCCCCATAAGAGTAGAGAGAAGGTTAGAGGTAGAGGTCATCAAAATTAATGTCAAAATAATTAATAGCATTGGGGGAACAAAAACTATGAAGATGAAATTTCCACGATCACAATGAACTCTAGAAGTTGGGAAAAGTTGTCAAAAGCTTCCAAAATGAAGGCCAGCATCAAGGAGATCAACTGACTACAGTGATGGATATGACAGTAAAGAAGGGTCAGGCTCACATGTAGAATTTTGTACAAAAGAGATTCTGATTTAGAAGTACAGGGAGCCTCTCCCAGGATACGAAGTTCCTCACCAGGTATAGGAAATCAGTGACTATTGCTTAGTCATGTAAAAAAATATGTGGTGATAAATACTGTAATTTATATATAAATACTAAGAAGCTATCTGCAGCCGCTGCAGCACAAGTTCGATCCCAGACCAGAGAGGTGACTCACCTGGGACAGCAGACCTCTCCTGACCTGTGCACTGCTTCCCCTCAACAGTGTATTTCAATAGATCTGCCTGTTCTGCTCCTCACTCTGTCTCTGGTGAATCTTCTCAACCCCCCACCTCTGGCATATACCCCCGCTCTTGTACACATAAGTAAATCTTTTTTAAAAATACATTTATAGAAAAGATAATTCAGATATTATGAATACATATGCACATAAATTTATGATCACAACAAAAAATACTAAAAATTCCATATTACCACATTTTCATAAGATGAAAAGACCAAATAATTATAGTAATTTGGTGAAGCAATTATATTATGTGGCAAGATTATGGGTGACATTTCTTCCTCTTTTTCCATGTTTCAGATCATGTAAGTTTTATTAACTTTATAATAGGAAAATTAGGGACTTAAAACATGAAAATCATGTCCACGAAATTTGAATAACAGTTATAGACTCTCTTACATACCATTGAGATGTTTAACTACCAAAAATAACCTGTTCCTACTCTTCTTTTACTTAAATGTAAAATGAGAATCTTCAACTGGGACTCTGATAAATGTGAATTTCATTGTTCCTACATTTGGCACATCAAGGAGATTTTCTTTGACTTGAAAGTTAGGGAGAATAATTGTAACCATGACTAATTTAAATGACTTGCATTATTCTGTTTAAAAGCTAAAGCTGTTCAGTTCCTTTCAAGAACCCACATGTTTCTTATTACAGTAAGGGGTAGAGGTCAGAGGAGGAAAGGATTTAACACAGCTGTTATTTAAAGATTGGTATAATACAGACCCTTTATAGAACACTCCTTTGATATGAAATTTTCTGGAAACACAAAGGATACCACTAAAACAACTTCCTAATTTCTCGCCTAACAATGAATCAAGCTATGCACCTGGACTCAACAGAATCTCTCATCTGAAAACAAGCATGCTGCCCCACAATATGAAATAATACATCTCATCAAGATGATCAGGTATTACCTTAAACCTCTATAGGATACATGTTACAA